TTATAAGTCTTAATTTTTCTGGAACAAGAACCCTGAACTTAGTTCAGAGATATTTCACAACCCTTATTTTTAGGTGGGTTCACAGCCCTACCATAAACTTGGCATGGTAGAAATCTTAGGGATCCTCATGCTATTGTATATTCATAGGAACACAAAAGTGTGAGGTTCAGATCGCGGGTTCCAAAAAATTAAGACATGAAATTTATTAAAAATAGTAACATCAGGTTTTTTAAAAATACTATATTTACCACTTACCATAAAAATAATTTATCATTATAACAATACAATTTATAAAATAATATTATGTTATTGTTATAAACTTCAATTAGAAATAGTTTGCTCTTATCCTTCTCTGGTTGTCTTCAATACATTAAAATTAAATAAAGTTTTTTCTTTTGCCCTTCCTTTGTTTGTAAATACATAAAAATTAAATAAAGTTTTCTTTTGTTTTGATTTAAATACATTTAAGGTTAACATATGGTTTTTGTGTTTTCTTTTTACTTAATTTTATAGTCTTTAATAGGGTGTTCGGAAAGGGGGGTAGGTTTTATCCCTAATTATGTAAGATAAAACTAACACAACTCCTTTTTGCAAAAATGTTCTTTTTCTCACTTTGCGCCAATTTTATTTTAATACTAAAAATATACTTTATTTATAAATTATACTAAAAAATAAAATTATTTTTGTACTTAAAAATATAATTTATTTGTTTTAATTGTCTATTAAATTTTTTATAATTAATTATTTTCTTTTTTAAATAAAATTTAAAAAAGGCCTAGAATTGGACTGCTCCACTTGCGCAAATGTTTAAAATGAGAAAATCAACATTAAAGTTTAAAATCAAATATAGGAAAAACTTATTGCTCAATTTAATTAAAAATTTCAGAGATAATTTATCATTTTTGTTACTTAATTATAGCCTAAAAAAATTTTGCTCAAAAAATTGAAATATAAAATTTATTTAATAAAATCAAAATGCAAGTGGAGCATATAACACTTTATGATTTTTTTTTAATGTTCAAAATGCTCCATTTACATTTTATTAATAAATTAACTATATCTTTTTTTTCTTTTCTATTTTATTCATACAATAAATAAAAATGAATATAAAATAAAATTAATATTTAATTAATAATTTTTTCCATATATTCTCTATCAGCTCTGGGCATAAACTAAACATTGTTCTAATATCTTTTTTAGTCTCATCTAAATTTTACCATTCGTTCTCGGGATCAATTTAATAATTGAAAAATTTATTGTAACTAATTCTTGGTCAAAATTTGATCTACGTATTTTCGAATCCTGTAAAATTGATACTTTAATCATATTATTGGATTTAAATGATAATCTATATTGCAAATAAAAAGGTTCAGTTTTTGAGATTTTTATTGACTAATTTAGTGAATGGTATATGGTTAATTTTGAATTTTTTTGATGAAGAATGGAAATCGAAATAATTCTATCTTTAACTGTTTTAGCAAATCCAATATTAAAATTATTTTTTAATATTGTTGTGTAATAATGAGCTTTAACAGGAATTCTTGATAATTCCTCATATTTTTTAGAATATAAATCATAAAATATTTTTTAATTGAGACTTCCCTCAAAGTTTTCCTTTGAAGAATCTTTTCGCCTATAATGCGAATGCACCTTTGGAATGGTATTTATGTGATTAATGATGAAATCTTTATCCTGATCAGAAATAACTTTTAAGTGTTTTTATTTTTTCTAGGAGCCAAATAAGTTAATAACTTTTAACTTTTTTTATTTTTTCTAGGAGCCAAATAAGTTCCAGTATTTTGGTATAAATATTTAAAAAATAACTAATTCGTTTATTACTTATATCAAGTGTTTGTAAAAAAAATTGTCTGCTAACTCTAACTTTAACATTCTCCACTTCAAAAAAATATAAGTATGAATAGTTTTTATAATTTAAAAAATCTTTTACATGGAGACCTGACAATAAATTATGCTAAACCCTTAGCTTTATCAGTTAAGCTCCAAAAAACCTCATGAATAATTTTTCTCTGATCTGCATAAACTTTTAGATGACATTGAAATATACATTTATTAGAATGATCATTCTGAACAATCCTTGCTCTTTTCAAATCACCTTTGATAATGATATAGGCCTCACTACATTCCCTTAATCTTTTTCTTTCATTTGCTTTGCTTCTAGAAATATTAAAAAATTGTTTTCATTATAAATATTAAAATTTTCAATTTTTATGAGCAAGTAATGCTTAATAATTTATTTAAATTATGAAAGTAAATTATTAAAAAATTGTTTAATTTCATTATAAAGATTGTATTTTCAATTTTTATATGAGTAAGTAATGCTTAATAATTTATTTAAATTATGAAAGTAAATTATTAAAAAATTGTTAAATTTCATTATAAAGATTGTATTTTTTATTTTTATATGAGCAAGTAATGCTTAATAATTTATTTAAATTATGAGCAAGTTAATTATTAAAAAATTGTTAAATTTCATTATAATTTAATTTTCAATTTTTATATGAGCAAGTAATGCATAATAATTTACTTAAATTATAAGCATAATTTAAAAAATTGTTAAATTTCATTATTGTATATAATAAAAAATTTACCTTGACATTTAATTTGGAATAGAGATATGGAATGAAAATATTTTATGATTTAATATAGAAAAAAAAATTAAAATAGGAGGGAAAACAACACGTGATTAAATAACATAAGCAAAAAATACATCGTTATATGCAAATAGCGCAAAATTGACAGAGCTATAACTTTGGCAAAAATTAAGATTTTTTAATCTAGTATTTATTTTTATATATTGGGAATAAATTAGTAATTATCTACTTCTAACTCAAAAATTTTAAAAATGTCGAGTGGAGCACTCCAATTCTAGATCGACGATATAAGTGTTGTAGTTTCTTTTAAAATATAAAATGGTATCAAATCTCATCGAGACGTGCCACCTTCCATTCTACCCATAATTGAAGCCCCGACACTTCAGTTATTTTAAAATAAAGATGGATATTGCCAAGTCAACGCAATTAAAATTTATTAATGGAATCACGTGGTTGAGTCCGATGTCTTACATATCACCCCCCCCCCCCCAAGGACAGAAGAACCAAAAGGTTGGATTAAGAAAAAAACATGATGGATACTAGAATTCGAACCCAGATAATCAAATTTAAGACGCTCTTGTAGACTAGTCTACTGACGTTCCAAAAAATCACGATTTTTCAAATATATATTATAAATAAATTCGGTAGTACCTATCCAAAATAAATTTGATATATTATGCAGTACATATCATTAAATCATTTATAAAGCAATTTTTCCTTGTGATTATGGTTTGTTATTTAGTCTTACCTTACGTTTAATTTAATTATCCAACAAAAAAATAAAAAGTTACAAAATATGTTGGTAATATTTTAAAATTTTTGCATAAAATGGAGTACCCTATAATATAATAAAGAGGATTCTAAGTAAAAATGACAAAATGTTTATATCTTTCATTTGGTTTATTGGACAAGTATCCTAGTACTCAGCTGCCCAAACCTGTCGAAAACCGGAGTGGCATTTAGAAATTCATCTTATCATATGTCTTTATCAGTAATGAAGGAAAACCTGAAAATTTTTACAGTTCCTTATCAGGATTGGACCTAGTATCTTCGGCTTATAAGCGTACATCATAAACCCACTAGGCCACCCTGTGACAGTAAAAAAATATAATGTTTTTATTTGCAAGGAAAATATTTATTATGATTTGGTTTAAAGAATAGATAGATAAAAATCAAATTGGTATTTTATATGTGAGAATATAGTGGATTGGAGAAATAAAATGTTGATCATAATTATTTTTTAAATTAAAAATATGCCTGCTTTGGGTTTAAAATTAAAATCATGGCTTAAAAATAGCAAATTATGGACATAATATGACTAAGGCCAAAAAATTAAATATATGGGCTAATAATAATGAATAAGAGGGCAAGGCTCAGGTTCATATCTTAATTTAATAATTTTCAAAAGGTTCCTTAATCCAATCATGTGGAATTTTAGATAGGCAGAAAATTTACTTCTAAATGTTTACAGGTAACCCCCCCCCCTCCCCAATAATTATAAGTTTTTTCGTCATTTTGTTATGTACAAATTTAAAACCAAAAAAGGGTTACAATTAAAAATTATGTTATTTATCTCTGGATATTATTTTACATAAAAGTTATCGTTGTGGTGGTCCAGTGGTGTGATATGTAGGCTTGTAAACCGAAGGTCCCAGGTTCAATCCTGGCAAGGAACTAAAAATTTTCGAGGTTTTCTTTGATGACGGATGACTTTAGACATATGATATGATAAATTTCTGAGTCGAGAAATGCCACCTTGGTCACCAACAGGCTTGGACAGCCAGGTGCTAGGATACTTGTCCAATAAACCAAAAAAGAGCCAGCTGAATTTGTGGGCCAGATGATGAAGATTTCTTGGCCAGCGCTAGGTGGTGGGATAATGGTGACCTCAAGGGCCTCTCAAGCTCAATGTCTACCAATAAAATGAATTGGATAACGATACTCCAGTGGGAGATCCATCGGGATTGATAATCCAGTGGGGGAGATCAGGATTGGGATATATCTGTCGATTTGATAAATCGATATGAGGATACTCCGGTGGGATATCTGGTCGATATTGATTGAGATCAAGATACTTTGGCCTCGATAGTGATAGGTGATCGATACAAATAAAAATAAATTAGATAAAAATAGCATGAGTATAAAAGTGTAGATAGATAGTGAAGGAGCTTACTACCAGAAAAGGTGAAAAAAAATTATCTTACATAAAAGATATGTTACCTAGTAATTTTTTTGTATATTGCTGTCATAAAATTAAAAGCATTTAAGAACAAATATTATACAATCCAAATTCACTTTATTATACAATCATATAAAAAAAATTCCTTGAATTTTTTATAATTATAAAGTTATTTAAGAAAAATTCCCTAAATTCATTATAATTATTATAAATATAAAAAGTTATATATTTTATATAATACCAAATGCTAAAAAAAATATATACATTTAAATATAATAATTATTGAGTCAAAAATTATTCAAAAAATTATTATATTTAAGCTTAGATTTTTTTAAAATGAATTATTAAAATAATAAATTATATATAACAGAAAATAAATTTTGTAAAAAATTATATATATATTTTTTAAATTAAAGAAGTATTAGTAATTTAACAAATGAGTATATATTTCCTTATTAGCCCAAAGTAAGGTCTCATCAATTGCTTTATCACCTTTAATGAAGTCTAATACAATAAATGTATTAATAAATAAATGAATATATTTTATGGTACTTATATTATATGGAATATTGGAAGATTTAGATGAGTCTACTTTGATTTTGTTTTCTAATTCTGATTTGTAAAACATATATAAAGGCCAGCAATATTTTTCAAAATATCCAGGGGGTTCAGGAGGTTCATATACCCTTTCCCTTAATTTCTTTTTAGATATAAAAAATATTTATAATAAACTTTCTTCTCTTCCAGCATTCCTCTTTGTCTAATGTAAAAAAGATTCTTATATCAAAGATTTCATCAATTGGAGAATTAAATAATAATATGCCTTCAATAAATAGAATTGGATGATGCTCATGTAAGTTATAAAAATTCAAGAGGCAAGCTAATTGTCGACTAGAATTTAATAAATTTTGAGAAGATATAGTCACTTCTTTTTTAATCCTTTCCCAATCATAAGTTTCAACTTCTAAAAAAAATAATAATAAATCAATTTATTTAAAAATGTACCATCCCAATTATGATAATCCAAAATAGAATCATATTTCAATTTATTCATTGGCTATTATCTTAAATTATATAGAAAAATAACAATTATTTTACCTTGGTAAGCTCGTCAATATGAATAATGGATGAAATGGTCCATAGTTCTTTCAGTTTAAGAGCTAAAGTTGATTTACCACCATTTGTGACCCTATAAAATGAATAATTAGACATAATAATTTCAAATTTATTACCCACTAATACCAACTATTAATAACTTGTTCATTCATTAAAGGTGCATCCAAAGTCAAGAAAAATAAAAAAAAATATGCAAAAATATTGAATATATGGATCTTTTCTAATATGAAATAACTGACATTTATTTTATCTGTCAAATGTTAAATATGAAATTTTTAATGTTAATTGTAGAGATTTGCAAAGTTAGACCCGGTGTAATATTGTAGAAACAATACCATCTAAAATCAATACGGTATTGATTCTACAATATTGTAAAAACAATACGGTATTGATAATTTATGACCGAACTTCAGCTTTTACGAATCAAATTGAAATTTTTAAGAATACCGTATACAAATTGTTACTACCGTTTACAATTGAAATTTTTTAAGAATATTGTATACAAATTGTTACTACCGTTTACAAATTTTTGAATATCCATATATAGAAACAGGATAACAATCAAATTGAAATTTTTATACAAATTGTTACTACCGTTTACAAATTTTTGAATATCCATATATAGAAACAGGAGAACAAATTAGTACACAGGAGAACAAATTAGTATATTTAAATTATAATTATAAATTTATATCAATTAATATAGATACAGGAGAACAAATTAGTACATTTAAATTATAATTTTATATTTATATCCATTAAAATACTAAAATAGAGTTTACAAATTACTACTTATATAGAAACACAGGAGAACATATTAGTACATTTAAATTATAATTATAAATTTATATCAATTAATATAGATACAGGAGAACAAATTAGTACATTTAAATTATAATTTTATATTTATATCCATTAAAATACTAAAATAGAGTTTACAAATTACTACTTATATAGAAACACAGGAGAACATATTAGTACATTTAAATTATAATTATAAATTTATATCAATTAATATAGATACAGAAGAACAAATTAGTACATTTATTATAATTTTATATTTATATCCATTAAAATACTAAAATAGAGTTTACAAATTATTACTTATATAGAAACACAGGAGAACATATTAGTACATTTAAATTATAATTATAAATTTATATCAATTAATATAGATACAGGAGAACAAATTAGTACATTTATTATAATTTTATATTTATATCCATTAAAATACTAAAATAGAGTTTACAAATTACTACTTATATAGAAACACAGGAGAACATATTAGTACATTTAAATTATAATTATACATTTATATCAATTAATATAGATACAGGAGAACAAATTAGTACATTTAAATTATAATTTTATATTTATATCCATTAAAATACTAAAATAGAGTTTACAAATTACTACTTATATAGAAACACAGGAGAACATATTAGTACATTTAAATTATAATTATAAATTTATATCAATTAATATAGATACAGGAGAACAAATTAGTACATTTATTATAATTTTATATTTATATCCATTAAAATACTAAAATAAAGTTTACAAATTATTACTTATATAGAAACACAGGAGAACATATTAGTACATTTAAATTATAATTATAAATTTATATCAATTAATATAGATACAGGAGAACAAATTAGTACATTTATTATAATTTTATATTTATATCCATTAAAATACTAAAATAGAGTTTACAAATTATTACTTATATAGAAACACAGGAGAACATATTAGTACATTTAAATTATAATTATAAATTTATATCAATTAATATAGATACAGGAGAACAAATTAGTACATTTAAATTATTATTTTATATTTATAAAAAGAATACAGTATCAATAAAAGAACCTTTAAATCAACAATTATAGAGAACTTCACAAAATTTTTCATGAATCAAATAGGTACATTTAAATTATAATTATACATTTATATCAAGCATTAACAGAAAAATATAATACAATAAAGGAATATTTAGTTACAGGAAAGTATCCTATATTTCTTAAAAACCATCCAGGGAAAAAAAGTAATTATAAATGCATGGCAAGCAAATTTATTGTTAAAGATGATGTTCTTTACAGAAAAATAAAGAATAAAGAAAGTTAATATGATCACAAAATAATCATTTTCTATTTATTTTTTAGCTTTAGTAATAATGGAAGAAGAAGAGAAACAAAGAGTAATATCTATTATTCACCAAGGATCAGGTATATCCTTAGAGTCTAAAGCTATTGGTGCCCACCTAGGTATTAATAAAACTCAACTTAAACTCTCTGAAAGGTACTTATTATGATGTTAGAATTCTTAATTTTGTGTTTATAGATATTGGTGGCCAAAATTATTTCAAGACACTATTGATTTTATAAAATCATGTGATAGATGTCAGAAGGCTAATGTAAGATTTACCAAAATTTCTTCCACTTTGCATCCAATAGATGTACCACCTTTTCCATGGGCTCAAATAGGAATTGATCTTTGCAGCCTGCCCACTTCAGAAGAAGGCTACAGGTGTATTGCCGTTGCCTCTGATTATTTCACAAAATGGGTTGAGGCAGAACCCATGAAATCCAAAACAGCCAATGAGACATGTAAATTTATATACGGTCTGATTTGCCGCCATGGCTGCGCAAATGTAAATCAAATTATATAAATACATATCGATTAAAAAATATGAATTTATGATAATTCTATCTTATAAACTTTTCATTTTATACAATATAGATACAAATCAATGATCAAGGAAGAGAGTTTGTAAATGAGATGGCTACTAGACTGCATAAAATGACCGGGACAGAGCAACGCATTTGCAGTGCGTACCATCCTCAAGCTAATGGCTTAACTGAGAGAAATAATCGCACTATTCAAAACCTAATGTTAAAGGTTTTAGGAAATGATCAGACCCAGTGGCCTAAAGTTCTTCCAGGTGTACTGTTTGCAATGAGAACAAGTGTACACAAATCAACAGGATTTACCCCATTTTATATGTTATATGGTCGGAATGCAAAGCTTCCATCAGACTTAAATTCCACAACTAAGCCTGATATTGTTAAGGAAATAAATAATGATCCTGAAAACTCTTATGTAAATAATATTGATAATGACTTTGACGAGAGTGAATTGTTAAATAGAATAATGAGCATGTCAGTCGTATGGAAAAAGGCGAAAGAAAATATAATTGTTGCCCAAGATAGACAAAAAAGAGATTATCAAAAAAGGCAAAAGGATAAAATATCGTATGAAGTTGGACAACTGGTCCTAATCTGGAACTCCCGTCGTGCGGATCGAAAGGGTGGAAAAATGTCTGATCCTTGGCTTGGTCCATATGTAATTGATAAAATACATGATAAAGATATTTATAGTGTGAGTAATAAAGATAATACACCATTAAAGCAAAAATATAACGGGTGTAACCTTAAGCCCTACATCCAACAATCTAATAACGGAGATGAGGCAAAAGAAGATTCTACCGATATTAAGATAATATTATATAAGGAGCCTGATACTTCTCCGTTACCTTACCTTGCCACCAATTATGCATGGAAGAAATATCATGCTAAGAGGTTGGGCATCCCATATTCTTTATTAACAGAAAGCAATGATAAAACTAAAAATTTAAGTTATCCTCCTAATTTTGAGATAGTTCTTGGTGACGGTAATTGTTTTTATCGGTGCTTAAGCAAATAAATCTCAGGGAGTGAAGATCACCATGCAATTATAAGGGGGTCTATTACCTCTTATATGATGCATTTTGAAAATAAAGATATTTTTAGTGATTTTATTGGAAAAGATATAATCACACATATAGTTGATACAAAAAAATATCAACTTGGAACGTGGGCAGATGAACTAGATATTGTAGCATCTGCCACATTTTTTCAAACACCTATCATTATATATTGCAAAAATGGAAATGAGATGAAATACATTACATACTCCTCATTATTAAAAAATAACTGTATAAAAAATTTTAATTTAAATTTATATTTAATAAATGCGACTTCTGATCATTTTAATCGTGTTATAATATAATATATACTCAATTTGTAATAATCATGTTTCCGTTATTGGGATATATTTTCTTTTTATAATATTTTTCTTGTATTTTTGAAATAAAATGATATATACTTTTTATTTATATAGTATTAAGAAATCAGTCTTTTATTGCAATAAAAAATATATATACAACTAAAAATAGTTATTACAGTTTAAAAGAATAATATAAAACATAATTTGATTTTATAAAATATTTTGTGTTCCATAAATATAAATGTAATTTTAATCAGATAGAAATAAAATTATATATGCATCTAAAAAATGAAATGACGATTAAGAAGCCAACAGGAAATGATTAAAACATATTTCAGTAATAGATATTTATTGAGATGCTTTGACTTAATTTAGCTTTTGTCTATTAAAATTTTAAGGCTTGAGATAGGAATGAAGATTTTAAGATGAGCCAACAGGCAATGATCGCATAATAATAGTGATAGAGATAATGATTGAGATCCTTTGTTGTAATAGAAACCCTCATATCTGTGATTAGCTTAAGCTTGTTTATTAAAATTTTAAGGCTTGATCCCAATAATAAGATGGTAAATGAAGAAAATTTGTGTACATTGTTCTTAATTACAATTTTCTACAGGATGGAGTTGAACAAACAATATCATTTTAACCATAAGTAGAAAATTAATAAATATGAGTAAAAAAATAAAAATATACAGGATATAAAGAATAGTAAAATATAAATTCCTTAAAAAAATTATATAAAAGAATAGAAAATCATTTAAATATATTTTAACTATTAAATATATAAAATAGATTTTTTACAAATCTAAAATGGCCGTCAATATTTTTGACGCGATTAGAAAATAAATATTTTACAATATGACAATTGTCACTTTTGGTACATCTTCACTGAAATTAATTTAACATGTTTACAATATATATTTTAATCTATGTAATTCAAAAAATTTCAAAAAAGTTAAATCTATTTAAAATAAATATTTTACAAATCGAAAATGGCCGCCAATATTTTTGAAGCGATGAAAAGAATATATAATAATAAATATTTTACAATTTTAATGGCCGCCAACATATTTGAAGCGAAAATTAAATGTATAATAATAAATATTTTACAATTTTAATGGCCGCCAACATATTTGAAGCGATAATTAAATGTATAATAATAAATATTTTACAATTTTAATGGCCGCCAATATATTTGAAGCGATGAAAACGTATTTTAAAACCAATACGGTATTGATTCTACAATATTGTAAAAACAATACGGTATTGAATCTACAATGATAATATCAATACGGTATTGAAACTACATTGGGTATTGCTTTCACAATCCTACACCGGTGTAACGTTCTAAATGAACTCCCGATTCAAATAGATTCTATTTTAGTGATATTAGCATTTATGACTGACATGTTAAGATTTAATCTTATTTTTCTTTTGTTTTTTAAAAAAATCGGGCCGGGTCGGATCATGGAAATTTTTTTTAATATATCTAAATTTATCAATTTTATATTGAATTTTTTATGATTTTTAAAATGTATATTATATTATAACTAGAATTGTTAATCGGCATTAGCATGTTACATTTAAAAAAAATTGGGATAGAGGTAGCTCGAATATAATTATAATTAATTCTAAAATCATAATCTTGTTTTATTTAATTTTAAAATTTACTTTTTCAAAATAATCTTAAATGTCATAGAGATTATATTAAAGATAATTTTGATACAAATCATATTGACTAGAAAATGATGATAATATGGAAATCCTTTTTCTGAATTCGTAAAATATTTTAATCTCGATAAAAAAAATTAACATAAGATATAAATTTCATTATGATGTTCCTGAAGCTTTTATTATCAAGCAAGACTAGTAGCTTTAACGGAGAAACCTTTAAAAGTAATATCAAAGAAATTTGGTCCCCGATCGCTAAAAACAAAAAAAATGGAAATCTTGCTTATATCTCCTAGAAAATTTAAAAAGAAAATACTAGGCTAGAAAACACATATATTAAAAGTTAGTTTTAAAAAAAATGAGAAAAATATGATCGATTCCTAAATGTTAGGAACGATACTCCTCTATTTTTAGGTTTTTTAAAATTTAAATAATTTGTTCTTCCTGCCATCTATTAATATTATTTTCATTATTACTATAAAAATTTGAGAAATAAGTTCCAAATTTTAGCGATTTAGAATGTGAAAGCCAATCATTAAATTTGAATTAAAGGTATATCTATAAAAATTTTTGAGTTAGATGAATTTATGTGAACGTTGATTTTCTAGTCCAGTCAAAACATGTATGTTTTATTTGACCACAAATTATTAATCAAGAATTATATTATAAATCAACTATTTAATGTAATATTTTATAAATTATTATATCTGGATGGTAAAAATGCTTAAAATTAAAGACTCATCTATATTTATAAATTTTATAAAAACATGCTAAAATATAACAATTTCAACCATTTGTGGCCTGGCCAGTTGGCAAACATACTTCCCCCCTACATAATCTTTATTCTAACTATTACTATTATAATTTTAGGCTGACTCTAACAAGAAAAAAAAAGCCACCTACTTATAGATTATTTATTTGAAATAATTAATAACACAACTGAAAAGGCTTTAGAAGTACAAGTAAATATTTTTGATGAATTTTCTTATAAAAAAAATATGTATATTTAATACTGCATTGTGTGATAGTGTTGAACGCTTATTTAATCATAGCTTATACTTTCTGATCGTTGCTATAGACATAGAGATGACTGTATGGAATTATTATAGATACAATATAAAATAAATAAATTATCTTTCTTGAAAGAGGTAGCGATAACGCGCTGCTTTTAAAAGTAACTATTAAAAACACTGAGTTATTAAAATTATAAGGTGTTAATATACAAACAAATTTAGTTATTTAATATATCTAATTCAATAATTAAATATAAACTCGTAACCCTTTTTTTTATTTTGAGTGTGAAGACCCCGTAAATAAGTATAAAACAATATATATTCAAAAAAGGAATGAATCAATATTGCAAGTGTTGTATCTGTCAATTTGTAATACATTTATAGACGTTTACAAATATTCTATAATTTTTGAAAATGTTAGTTTTTTTAAAAAATTTTAGGATTCTTTTGTTATGGAGAAATGAATGAGTGAGTTAAAAATTCACTAGTAAAATGTTTTATTAAATTTTTAAAAATTAAGTTAAATAAAAAATATTAAATAGGTGATATGCAGAGTATAAGATTTTAGCGATGGAAAAGTAGAAGCTAGCGTCTTCATAAAAAATGGGGGAGGGGGCAAAACGCTTGAATTTATTCCGCCTCCTACCTTCATACACCTAAAAAAGGTTTCAGTAAAAGCTCACAAAATGCATCTCAGCAGTGGCGTAGCTACGGGGGTGGTTTTCGGGTTTGGACCTCTCCCAGAGCAAAAATTTTTTTTAGATTAAACGTTCAAAAGACTTAAAAGTGTTTTTATATGTATTATATTTTTATGGTTTTGATGTTTGTGGAAGGATATTATATTACATTGAAATTATTCTGGATAGTATTATTATAAAGTCATTGAGAATAGTCTACTAAATTATAATAACATATTATTGATGCATTTAAAAAATATATTTATTATATATTATCGAAGATATGGTTATGATTTGTGAGATGGCCGAAGGCCAGTATATATATGGACCCCCTCTAAGAAAAATTCCTAGCTACGCCACTGCATCTCAGTTAATGATAAACATTGGATAGACGGAAAGTGAAGATATCGGTGAAAAAATGGATGGATGGGCAATGTTAAAATTAGAGACAGATAAGACATTAGATAGAAGTGAATGAAGAAATTAGAGTAATGGTGAATGCCAGCAAAATATAGATAATGAATGGGAATAGGATATAGCATGTATCGAATAAAATGGAGAAGATTTATTGATTTACATTATATATATAATATCTTTATTACTAAAAAATAAATATAAATTATCCCAAATTCCTGCTAATATTTATTTTATTGTATTTTGGCAATATTCGACCCAAACTGAATAGCTTTCTTGGGTAAGCTGCATAAATTTTCGGGTATGCTCATCGCTTTGCCTAAAGTTCTTAATAACATCTTATCTCCGATGCCAGGTGGTAGGTTTAGATCTGCCTAGTTTTTTTAAAAAATATATGGTTTTGCACATCATAATCAATATATTAACAAACTTTGTATTCGACGGGAAGAGATAATAAGAAAGAAACGAGGTCTTCATCTAAATAGGGATATCTCACTTCTTTACCGTGACAGCTAATGACCCTAAATATATATAAAATACACAAAAAATAGGCATTATGACTATAATTTTTTAAAAAAAACCTATCATCTCTTCCTAAATTTCTTTCGTACATATTTTTAACGCTATTGAGAATTTCTTTCTGTAAAGCATCTAAACCACCGTGTCTGGAAATTATAAATAATAATTGATTAATAAAATGCTAAATTTTGAATACACAATCATGTAAATAACTAAGGACAAAATATTATTTGGCTCAAAATATATAAATACACTTTTCGAGTTTACCTTCCTATCAGCCTTCCCGTGAATATTAAATTAAACATGTAATATTTTTTTAGGTGTAAACCATAGTATTATTTTATACATAATGCGTAACCAAATCACATTAGGATTGAAACAAAAACACACCTTTCATCTTTGAATGATAAAGAACAAGCTTGTTTTATAAATTACTAACGTAACAATTGAGAATGAATGTAGTATAAATGGGGGAAAAAAGTTTTTTAATTATTAATAGATTAGAAAGATTACTAATACTTTAAGATCAAAAAAATTTCCATGGATATCATCTATCATATTATATATAAAATTTTTACCGCAGTACTTTAAAATATATTATAATATTTCATAAAACGTCTTATGCCTAATACAAATCATAGGTTTAGATTGGAACCTCGAGTTTTGGTTCTGAATATTTCTACAAAATTATGGTTTCGGGTAAGTGTAAATTTTAAAAACTGCTTCCGAATCCGATTAGCACAAATGATGATAATTAAAATTAATTTTACTTTTGTTAGAACTAGTTTCGGTTGAACTTATAAGAGAAGCAAACTACTCAAATAAAAATACACCATCTACACGGGCTTTCAAGCCTCCCCCAAAACTTAGATGTTTGATTTACAAACCAATCCCATCTCAAAGTCGTCTGATTGTTATTTATTTTTCTTTACCAAGTTACATGTTCTTGTAAAAAGAACGAACCAACTATGAATTTAGACTCATTAAATATTTTATTTGCTACACACTGTTCAAACCTGTTGCACAATCGAAAAGCGATTTAAATTTCATCAATACATGTAAATAAAAACCAGAACCATTGAAGGTGCGTATAAATAATTTTCTGTATCATCATACTAATTACAATCTCATACAAAAGATTAATTGGAGAGGGAGGATAGGGGTCGAGATAGCTAACTGAGAACAATATAAACAGATAAGATGGATAATAACATTACTATTGATTAGAAGAGCTCATCATCTCTTATCTCATTATTTATTTTCTTTTGCTTATATATTTTTGGGTTATATTTATTTCATCGTAATTTCAATTTTCATATTTTCCTTGACAACGATAAATAACATTTTATCGAAATAAATTTAAAATTTATTTTAAAATTAAAATGTTATTTTTTTGTCATTCGATAAATTTTTACCTAATTTTTTAATATGATTTTAAAAAAATGTATGTATTATATAATTAACCAATGAATATTTCAAAGAAAAAACAAATAACAAATTTACTTAAATATCATTCGATGTTTTGTGTAACCGGCCAATAGTTCATCGGCACCGAACCCGGAAAAGAGAACCTATTTTCCACCCAAAAATGTTTTGTAAAAAAATATATTTATTTTTAGCTCCTTGTTAAACTCGAGTCGGTCGCTTATACAGATATATTTTTTTCTCGGGACTAGTTCGGGATTATAACATTGATTTTAAGATTTATTTCGGACCGGAAATGAACCATGATTTTAGGATTTATTTAGGAACAGATAAGTACCCTAAAAATTTTTTAAAAATCACCTGGTTTCCCCTAATGTTATCGTGGTTCTACAACAGTCCACTAAATAAAAAAATCGGATAGTATCGAATTTAGGAATATATTTTCTAAATTAAAATATCGAATAGGGATTTGTATTCGTTTTTTAAAAAACCTACTTCGCATTTTAGAAGAAATAAGCAATATTCAAGTATCTATATAAATTAAATTTCAGAGATATATCGATTATTTTGTATCGGCGAATACGATCGATACAATCCCCCCCCCCTCCATTTCCACCAGTAAATATGCCTTTCAAAAATTAAACAAACTTGTAAATTGTGGTATAGTTTTAACTTTTTTTTCTTAATCAGCTTAGAAATTAGTTGATCAATTCATTTTTTGTTCCTTCCCTCTTAAGCATTCGAGACTTAATGTCGGTTATCTCGATAAAATTTGTGATGGATAATCATAATGTTTGATATCAACCACACACAGGGTTGCCAGGTTGAAATTCTACAATTGTGGTAGATTTTCTTATAAATTTAAGTGATAACTAATTCATATTCTATGAAAAATATAATGATGGACATTTTTTTTTCAAATATTTATAAAAAATATAGTAAATTTATTCAAATTAGCTAAGATGATATGGTGGCTAATTATATAAAATCTCGTCCTTTTATTGGTTATTCAGGTAAAACATAACAAATTAAAGCAAAGAGAGTTATCAAATAGAAAGAGTTAAAATTTTGAAATTTATTTATTTTGGGGAAAAATATATGGTATTTTTAATATATAAAAATTTTAAAACATTATGAAAATTAAGAATGTGAGCGATTTTAGGTAGTTTTTGTAGTTATATTTCGGAAAATTTTAAAAATGTGATAGTTGAGTAGAAGTCTGGTAGATCTCGACTGTGGTGGTCTCTAGTCAATGTGGATAAACCTGGTAACCCTGGCCACAAATATAACTTAAAATTCAAAGTATTGGCATGTAACAATCATCTCCGATTTATTAACGCATTCAGGTGGGATGAAAAATAGTTTCAATGTTTTATTATCTTACTTGAGCCGGACTATCATAAAATGCACTGCCTGTGATCGATTCAACGTATCCTAAATTTAAGAATAAGGTATATTCATCGTAGATATAGTTTTTAACTGAAGAATTTTTTTAATTTATCTATAGCTAACATATTACTGTTATAACTACTACTTATAAAAATCGATTTAAATAGATTGTTACAAGTGGATCCACTATAAAAAAAAGTGGTTAAAATGAAAAGAAAGATCATTGTGACCTATATTCCCCCCCCCCCACACTGATGACTTAAATGGATTGAATAAGAAAAGGAGGAGATACAATATTAATTCGATACTTTTTTACCTTCTTCAGTATGAACCCGATCTCGTTCTAATGTATTACCTATGCCTCGCGCTGCGAAGTAAAAAGCGGGGCCTATACTGCCATCTAGAATGGTATTGCCAGTTCCGGGCAACATTAATTGGTTGATTTCGTCTAATCTTAAAAATATATATTTTTTTTTAAAAAATAAAATAATAAATATTATAACCTACGATAATATAATTTAAATAATTTTTTGAATTATATTATCGTTTCTAGGGAGCATTTTCCTAGTGGATCAATTTTTAAATATTTATATATTCGAAAGTTTTTTTTTCGGAAATTGATTAAATTTTCTAGTTAGGCTCAAAAATTTCTAATTTAATTTTCTATAGATATGGCGGTGTCTAGCAGTAGTTCTAAGATATTAGATCCTTTTATTATTTATAAAATCGACAGATATTCTGTTTTGTCCTTAGTTTGTCCAACTTTTGGCAAAAAAATAGTGCATTTTTTATTGAACGCATTCTTAAAATGTGAAATAGTTGCCATGGGCGGGTTTTAGACAACAAGCGCGCCCACAATTTTTTTTAACCTATCCACCTTGTTTTTTTTTAAATTTACCCACCCGCCAAGTTATCATAAAAATTTTGTTGAACCGGCCCACCCGATGTTTAAAATATTTTTTTAATGGTTTAATCAGCATTGAAGTTGTCCAAGGTTTTTTGATTTAACGATAATACTTAGTGGGTATAGATAAAAGAAGAAAAAAATGGTTATAGGCTTTGATATCGGTCCCTTGGCTAGTTATAATAAGTATATGCATATGATATATGATATTTACTTTGAAAGCAGTGTCTCTTTACTAACATCCACCTAAAAAGTTTTAAATAAAAAATACATGTTATATTATAAAATGGTTAATATTTACCTAGTGGTAATTAGTGGCAATGAGGATTGCCGAATATTTTGTATGCGTGTATGGTAGGGTTTTAGAAAAAAATCAGTGTAACCAATTATTCAATTTTGAATCATTTATAACATGCGTTTTTTATTTTTAAAAAAAATTTCTTGATTTTACCGATATTGCGCATGTGTTTGTATAGTGCCTTAAATAATTTTAAAGTTCCGGGATAAAATTTTGAATTAATTTTAATGAGATATTTCCTATAGATTTTTAAGTCACCTAAAAATTACACAAAGAGAATTGGCTAAAATTCACAGGATTAGGTACACTATACACATCTTGGAATACAATTCCGGCCAAATAAAATCTTCAAAAATTAAAAAACGCTGGCTGTAAATGATTCAAGGAATTAGTAATGCTGTATCTAGATTAAAAATATCGTATCGGCATCTTATTTAATGTATCTATTTATAGATACATTAGGACATAATTTAATTTTACATTCCTTGTTATATGAAATTTGATCTCATTCTTATTTAATTATCAAATATTTGCCTGAGTTTATTTATGTTCAATCCAGGAGAAATTTTATTTAACAATGGATGGCGAAAATATGGTATTAATAATAATGTTTCTAAATATGATAAATTTTTAGATGATTACTATTAGTGATCTGATGAAGAAGAAAAAATCAACCCAACATCAGCAAATTCTTAAACTTGATTGGAACCGACTTCAAATGCCAAAAAACTATGATAGAAAATTAATGATATTAATGGCAGAAAAAAAAGAAAGATTTAATATTATATATTTTTCGACACCTATAAAGAGGACATAAATTTTAAAACTCATCAAACTTTGACCGATTATTCTAAAAATGAATGCTGTCATTATATTGTATTTATATACGTTATCCTTCCTAATATTAAAGTATTCTCCAAACTTTCCAGTATGGCAGTTGAAAGACCTTTAGTGTGGTAAAATTTTTTCAAACGGAGATGCCCAACCCAAGTGATAAAAACTATGAGATTGTTTTATTAATAAAAGACAGCGATACTATTTCTATAACAAAAATAAAATACCAAACTGATGGTTCAATTCACAATTTGAGTTTTAAAATAGATTTTCAATTCTGGCATCATGAACACTTTCAATGATTATAATTTTTAAAAAAAACGTATATCAATTGTATGTTAAGGGAAATTGTATTCGTATCAAAGATGGAGCATGCATCTGTATTTAAATAATTTCTTAGCGTAGGTATCTAGATACATTTAAAATGTAGATACAATCTACAACATAAACATATATTTTATAAAACCTCTACAAAATTCCAATTCCGTATCCCCTTCGAGCGCCGCCCAAGATATTCATAAGCCTTTTTCGCGTTTATCCTATCCTTAGCGCCATCTATATCAGTGTTTAGATCACGGGTGACATTATCTTTCGAGTAAGTTTTAGTTTTACAGTAGATCAATTTGCCCCATCTTGGTTTCTGATCATCATAAAATACGACGTTTAGGAGGTCGATACTGTCCTTTGTATCAACTAAGCTTAAATAATTTTTTAAAATTATTATATGTATTTTTTTAACCTATAAACTCAAATATTTTTGTTTGAAAAGAGAAAAAAAGTTTACACATTGTTACATTATACGTCCCAACAATTCAAGTTATGATTGGACAGAAAATTCCAAAATATGTAAATATGTTGTTTTATTTTACTCACTCGTCAATGAGGCAAGCTAATATCAGGCAATCAATGCCCCCGCTAAATAAAATGGCTATCTTGGAATGCGCACAATCAAAGTTTTTACCATTGATATTGTTATTGTGATTTAGACCAAAAGCATTGTAATTCATTGCATGATTGGGATGGGATTTGCAACGTCTGCATAGTTTTGGCACAACAGAAGATCTCAATCTTAGGTGGGCAGAACGATACAAAAGGTAAGTGAACTGCGATAATATTTCCTTATTCTTGGAAGCTTTGTTTAATTATTAATTTATAAAATTTACATTGCAACAATATATTAAGATAATTTTAAGACTGTGTGCATAATTTGATTTTAGTATATAATGAATTTCTTATAAAAGATAATAACTTTGATTTGAGTTTAAAAAAAATATAAATTAAACTTATGATCATGAAGAATGCAAAAATATGTAGCAAACATATTCAGACTCGTGTTATAAGACTATAAAATGAACCCTGTACAAATGGATCAGAGTTCAACTTGTCTTCCCTTTAGTCAAATTATATAGCTCAATTAGATAGATTTTCTCAAATTCAAATAAAATAAGTTATAACCAGATTTTTAACTAGGACACCCCATTTTTAATTTGTTTTAAATTTACATTAAATAAATATTTTGATTTGGAATGAGTCACAAAGACATGTTACCTGTGTAAATTTAAATAGGCATTCTTTTTAGGTTGTTTAGAAGAATCTATATAGACAGCTAACAGACTACTATTTAGAAATAAGACAAGTCAGGACCACGACATAAGTGATTACAATTTTTCAGTTTTGTTGAAATATAATGTTTCAACAGTTTCAATAAAACAAAATTTGAATAAAATTCAGGCCTATTTTTAGATTAAAATTTATCAGATCAGACTTGGATTTTTTAAAAAGGATTGATAGGACAAAATTTTCCTGATTCAGGTTGAACCTCTCACATATTTGAAATCACATGCAAGATAAATTTTAAAAACCTGATCCCAACCCAGTATATAAAAAAATTCTGAGGTTAGAAAATTGAAGAATTAAACAGAACAATAATATAATAAAAAGTTTGCAAAATAATATATTTGGGCTTACTTCTTGAAAAAATATTAGACATGACATCCAGATAAGATTGACCAAAGTTTTGGGTTGTAGATAGTAATCTATAAGGACATGCTATTATCTCCTTAAAACATTTTTATATATAGAATAACTTATTGATTACTTTATAAGGGTAATAATGTATATTAAAAGGAATGTCTCCTTTAACATGTAATTTATAAAGGCCTGGGTTTAATTCTATAAATTCCTATATATATTTATTTAAAGAAAATTAAAAATAATTTTTTACATGATTGCATGTATTTTGTGGAAAAATTGAAGATAAAATTAAAGAGCCATTAATATTCTTTGATAATAATAGGCTCCTTCTACCAATAACATCTTTACCAAACCATAAAATATTTTTGTTTGACTAAATATAAATATGTTTTAAGCATTTCATTTTGAACAATACTTGCCAATATATAAAAGCAAAGGGTCCCTTTAACTTATTAAATACTAAGTTTGTGTCTTCATGATCTAAAAGTTTAAATAAAATTTCTGTATCAGATTGATTAGAAGTTAGCTAAAATAAATAATAAATAAAAGCATATTTATTAATAAAAACATCTATCCCATCAAAAATTTCCCCATTCCACAATAAAATATTATGGTTTGATATTTGGGGCTGTTTACAAATATCTTTGCCTCTAATATGTAATACACTTGCTACAAAATTAATTTCATAGGAGTCAATACTAATATTATAGGAATTTAAGCAATCAGGCCCCCTTTTATGTAACTGGTCTCTAATGTATTGCTATGATTCTGGTGAATATAAAACAATAATTATTTCTATTTTACTGTGTTTAAAAAGTTTTCTTTGTCATGTATGTAGCAAAATATTCCACACATTCAAAAATTTAAAAAACCCATAACCCAACATAGCAAGAGTGAATATAGAGTGTCACTAACATGGATTTATAGATTTGTAAACGCACATTTAATAGATAGGGTCGTCAATCAAGAGCTAGATATTATGGGTGCTAAAGCACCCTTCTTTTTAAATTAGCACTATACCTATAAAAATACCGATGGAATATATTTTTTTAAACTTTCTTTTATCTATAATAAAAAATAGGCTGATAATAAATCTATATTAAAATTACATTTAAAAAGAAATTAAGTAGTTTAAAGGGCAAAAAAAGCTCTTTGAGATCTGAGGATGCTAAGATAGTTGCTTCGAAACCCAGCGATTTGAGTTAATTGTAACATTTTAAAAGAGTATTTATTGTGAATTTCTTTTGCCTAAAATCTTTAAAATAATAGCCAAGAGTCTTAGGGACCCATTGATATATCATAAAGTAAAAATTAGAAATGTCTAGGTACTTTTTAATTTTTAACTCTTCGGGTATAATAATCAGATACATGGTGAGGTTAGAGGAAAATTGGGAGACACAAGTGAAATCCCAAATAAGGGGTTTTTCACTATTAAAATTAATTTCAAAAAATAAATAATATTAAAATAATCTATATCATCATCTAAAACCACTATTTCTATAGTTTTAATTTTCAAAATTTTAACTTAACTCTTCGTGATGTTAAGAATATTATTACTATCCCCAAAAGATTTTGTAACTGGTTTTTAAATTGCTAAAAATTGTACTTTATTCGATCTAAAACCAAATTTATCAATATTGTTACATCATAAAAGCTCTTTAATGCTACTTTGCCTTAAAATTTTTACAGCCAAATAAAATATATAAACCATTTTTTAATCTGGTTAATAAACTAAATTGTTATATTCTTATTTTAGCGAATAGAACCATTATTTACATTTATTTATTTCTATAATTTATTCACAATGTGTATCAGTTTTCATTGACATTTTATTTAGTATAATTTAACCATAAGGTGCAACTTAATTACAAATGGCGATATATATTACACATTAATGGATATCGTCCAAATACACTCCAGACATCGTACCATCTTTCAAAACATTGTTCATGTAAAGCTGGAAAATAGTTTTTGCGCACGAAAGCCCAAACGGCATCCTTCGGTATCGAAAATATCCTTTATGTGTTGAGATGACCAAATATTCTTGGGACTCTGGCTCAACGGCCATTTGTAGATACGCGTCCTTTAAATCTATCACCGTAAAACGCCCCCTCCCCGAATCTTAACCAATAAGTCATCCAGCATAGGAATAACGTGATGATCATATATTAGATGGGGATTTAAACTCACCTTGAAATCTGCGCAGATACAAATCTCGCCATTGTTTATCCTGACATTTACTGTTGGAGTTTCCCATGGCACCCTAGTTATAGAGGAATCGATGGGCTCTAAAATCTTAACAGCCACAAGGCGATCCAGTTCTAGTTCAACCGCTCTGCGTAACGGAAATGGCACTCGACGAGCTGGAAACGATTTTGGAACAGCCGTATCTTTTAATTGGAGTCGCACCGCGAAATTACGTATCAACCCCGGTTTGCCGTCAAAAACAGCTTTAAACTGTTTAGCTAACAAATGCCCCATTGAGTCTTCCGTTAGTGACATCCTCGATCCGTGTTAGCATCGATTGTATTCGAACGGCCCATCGGGGCTTCGGCCCGCGGGGCACCGATTGTATTTGAGCGGCCCATCGGGGCATCGTTGGTTTGGTGGCAATTTGATGTTTTTGTTTTTCTATTCGTTTTGAGAACCTGTTGTATGCTTACCTGTCTCAGTAACTCAAACCCAAATGCTAAAATCCATGGCAACCCAAACAGAGGTAGGTCATTTGACTTTATTATAATAACAGATAAATTGCGAAAAAATCATATCTAACTGGCAAATATAATATATATTATGATAAAATATTACAATAGATTACTTCTTTACTACACTTATAAATTATTAAAATAATATTAATATATATAATTTCATATCTAAATAATAATTTAAGAACCATTAAGCTAAAATAATTATCATCTTGATCATTAACGATTGAAAGGCTGTATATTAATCATTTGCATCGATCCTAATTTTTCAAGCCCGGCCCGAACCCGATTTTGTTTTCCATTTGTACCGAAATAAAAATTATTTGTCAGCACGAAAGAATTATTTATAAATTTAATTTTATATAAAAAAAATAATTCTCATAAAAAGATATCTCATTATATATTATTTATGTAAAATTTTATTTTTATTATTATATATATATATAGGGAAATTTTTTTTTGTTGTATATAATATTTAATTTTTAACGATAACGCTAAAGTCTAACTTTTTTCAGACGTAACGAAGTAAAACCTGTTTCTTTTTTTTGAAGTAAAGTTTACAGAAATACATCATATATATATAAATATAATAGGTATTCTTAGTGATACAATTATCGGAAAAGGATATAAACTTTGACTAATAAAATATTATAGGTAACGCTGTTCCATTACACACAAATGTAAGAGGATAGTAGATTATTCTTAGATTTATGCTTGAAACAATAATTTTTAATATAATATTACTATTTAGTTTTTTAATATGTTTGCCATAGGACTAAAAATCCCAAGAGGATTATCTTCATTTTAATAATTAATGTTTGGCTTATTTATATGTCTTTGTTATGATCACCATTAATAGATATAAAGTGCTATAAAATGCTCATTTAGCGATTAAGAATTCTTGAGAGAAACAAAACTCTAATTACCTAGCAATAATATAATAATTTGTGTAATCATTCTAGTCAACAAAATCTATGCAACCTAGAATTATTTATAACCAAATATTAAAAAATATGGGCGCATTGCTACTACAGGTTACTGTATATTGTATAAGAATGTTGAAATTGATTTATGCAGTATTTACTGAAAACTTGTATATATATATTTATACATATATGAATGATATAAAGCACAAATTATAAATTGAAATAAGGCAATTATTTTGTAATTTTTAAATTAAATTTCTTCTTTTTTTGAAAAAAAATAATTCTTATGAATCTTTGAGGCATTTTCCTATGCTGTACTGATTCGGCTGTTGACATTTGAATCCTTGTTTGCAATGGCCTTGTGTCCAATATTCACCGCATGGTTCTCCTTCCTCCTAGTAATAGTAATTTTTTTTTTTAAAATCATTATAAGAAAAATTTAGCTTACTTAGGAATTGGTGCTTTAATTATTAATTTTTTGAAAGTTTTGTGCGTAAAGATTAGAAGTTCCTAAGAAATCGATCATTTTTGATAAGGTGTCTAATAATCAAAAATATAAGAAACTTCCAGACTCAAGCCTAGGTTCAAATTTATATTATAAATAAGGAAAAATAATCTCATGTCGTATACTTATTTTATCATCTCTTGGCTAACATAATTAACTATTAGAAGTTTTGAATAATTATTTTCTTTTTCTTTCTCCACCTAATAATGGTCCCACATCTAAACCTTACAAATATTTGACCTTCAAAATCCAATTTTTATGGCAATAGTTCCTATTACCTTAAGTAGGAATCTTTGGTGATGGGGCTTTTCAATTAAAAAAAATAACTGATGGGGCTCTATCTAGGACAAAGGATCTCTTTAGAGTCTGTCAATCTAATTTCCTGACCATCCACTCCTCCCTTAGATGACCCCAAGCCTTTTTTATAAATTTTTGATCGTTCCATTTTTAGGAAATATTTTTATTTTTATCTCTAATTCTTATAATTAACTATATAATGTTTTATATATAATATTTCTGTTATTATTTAATCTCCAGATATAATAAATATTGTACATTCAAAATCTCTTTGAATTAAAATCCTTTTTTTTAAAATAAAAAACACTCTTATACTAATTTTAATATCTTATAAGGGAAAATATAATTATTATTTTTCGGGCCAGTTTAATATTTAATTGACGATGTTACTACTTTCAGAGCCAGGGTGATGGAGTTATAGCCAAATGTATTAAAAAAATATTATTGTTTTATAAATCGTTAATAATAACAATAATAAAAATGATATCAAAATTATCACCTATCAAATCGGATTAAAAATTTATTTTTTTAAATTAAACGCTATAAAAAATCAGGAAGTGACTTTATCTTAAAAATGTATCCAAAATTGTTTTATATAACCATTGATAGTATTTATTCGAGATTAGTATTTGTTTTTTTTATAAAATTGCCATAATTTATAATTAGTATCCGAGATAAGGTGTAGTGTTTTAAAATACGGCTAACTCAATATTTCATCCAGAAAAATATTAAGCAAAGCCTGAAGATTCTGTTTATAGAAGGAACGAAGGTCTAGACATACATTATCGAAATATCGAGTCTTAGGCCATATTTATCTGGATCGAGTTAGCTAAAAATCTGCTCAAAACGAGCCCTTTAACAACACTAATAAGGTGGAAAAGAGGAAAGGGGGGTTGAATTTGAGTAGGTATTTTCACTGGAGTCATTTTAGATCTACTCTTTGAAAAAACTTTGCCGGATTATTGCACTTTTTAAAATATAATTTTTTATTAGGGCGTGTTTCAAATTAAATGAAGGAATAGAAAGAGCTATCGTTGACCTTGTCCCCAACGATGCCACTGCTTATTAAATAATAATTATTCAGGGATCATATATAGTAGGATATATTTAATTTGTTTGTTCGCGTTTCACTAAATTCAGGTTTTTCTTACAAAATGGATAATAGTCGGTATAGTAATAAAAAGTAAAATAAAATAACAATTGAAAATAACTTTTGGGTATTCGGTTATGCATATCCCTTTTGATTGAAGCGGCTCTTCGTAGCTTTCGTATTTACATATGAATCCTCTAGAACATTTGCCCGATGTTCGAAATGGCCCCCCACACTCTTCATCTTTCACCTAAGGATATTCATTAAATAAGTGTGTAATCAGAATTATTTTCTTATACGAAGTAAATATTCTACGTTCTACATAATTTTAAATGTTGGAATATAAAATTCTTTAGAAAAAAATCTTCAAGAATTGAATGCAGTTTAATTATTTCAATATACCTTTGCGCAAACATCGCAACATCCACAAGCGTCCTTAGTTATGTCGCCTTTGCAATCCGTCGGCGTAGGCGTCGAACATTTATTCGGAAGATTGTGACAAGGACAAGATAGAGCATCTACAAGTCTTTTTATATTAAAAAAAATTTAAATTTTCTAATTCAAAAGTATCGATTATGAATCAGGAACGGATCATTTTCTAAAATTTTGTTTTTTGGTTTGACGAAGACAGCTGATTAATTAGATTTTATCAAGCCGACAACTTTCAATTTGAACATTCAACACTACGCTAACCGTTGTTGACCTTAAAAGAACTCAAAATTTTTTTTTTTATTAACCAATCAAAATAAAGATGACCCCTCAAATAATACGAGAGGACCTGAAGACCAAACCCAGTCGAGGCTAAAAAATATTTTTTTTGGGAAATAAAACCTAGGTTGGACAAAATAATAATATTTTTTTAAAAATATTTCAATTAAAATTAACTTAAAAATTCACTTGCCGTTTATATTTTCAATTTCTCTCTTTTCATACCAATCTACTATAAGACCCAAAATTATTTAAAGATAATTAAATTTAAAAAATAAAACCCGGACCTGAACCTACAGTATTCTAAAAAGGGGGAGGGGGTGGGTTAAGTAGGGCCTAACAATTTGATCTTCGCAAGTTTCTAAAATAATATTGATATTTTTAAAAGTGAATGTTGGTATCCGACAGTTTACCACGAATTATTTGTAAGTAATCAGTATTTTAGCCAAAAGCAAGGCTTTAAAATTTAGTTCAAGAGATTCTTTCATGTGGCACCTATTTCCTCGTAATATAAGAGGCCTCATTAAATATATTTTTTTGGCTAAAATCTAGATTTTTCTTAAATCGGCTTAATCGAGGGCCTCGATAACACCAATCATACAGAATAAATTTCTTCAATTTTACAAGAGGCCAAAAAGACCTTTTTTTAAAAAAAAATATAAATAATCGTAATTCAGAAATTTTTATTCGCGAATAACCAATATAAGTATGATTGTTGTAATTATTTAAATATTGTAATAAATTTATTTATAAAATTCATTTAAGTATTATAGTCTTTTGGAAAATTTATATGATTATTTATTGGATTTCACCCTATCACCGTTCATTTTACCTTGAAACTTTTGTTCAAATAAGAGTCTAACCTTTAAAGAATTGTTCATTCAAAATTGATCAAAATGGTATATCTTTTTCTTTTTTTTAAAATATTAAACTAAATATTATGTGAGAGTGAATGAGCTGCAATTTGTTTATGTAAATATAGACGAAAAGTTTTTTTTTTCGCATAAAATTTTCAAGGGACATTTTTATATTTATTTAAAAATAAATATGTGGATATAGCTATCTCCAAATTTAATAATTAACATTTGATTTTCAGTAAGTAGCAAATGGGGGAAAATATTACAAAGTTTTTTTAAATTTACCTTAGTTGATTTTGGTAATATTTATTTCCCTATGCTTTAAAAATATGTAAGGAAAATTTATATCGATTTGTTAAACTTACCTATTAGAATTGAATAAGACTAATATAAGTCCAAAACACAATTTTACAGCAATTTCCATATTTTAAGATATGAATTTTTTTTTTTAAATTAAAATAAATTAAAAGCTTTTCAAGAACGTTTTTAAAACTATTGTTAATAATAAATGTTTTTAAATATTTTGTCCTTATCTTTTAAAAAAATTATAAAAATGATCATGGCTATATATTTCGAGTTTGAGAACAATGCTGTTATCTTGCATTTACAATAAATGTTCTTGTGATGGACTAGTTTAATGTAGGATTAGATAGATCAAGGCCAAAATGACTAAAATTATATTATTCTCAAAAATAGAATAGACCGGGAGTAGTCGGTACAATAAGCTTCAGTTTATTTTAACTCTGTAAAGTTTCGATTTTGAAATTTTATTTTAGAGTAAACATTATAATAATATCTATATCTTTGGTAGTGGCAAATATTTTTAAAATGTGTTCGTATAAGGTCAAAATTAAAAAAAAAAAATTTTCAAATTACATTTTAAATATTTTTTTCATTATAAAAATAGAAATAGTATTAAAAGTTGTGTTTATAAAACCCTCTTTTAATATTTTGGAAAAGTTTTAAAAATCATATGTAACTCATGTTTAAATATATATTTCAAAAGTGTTTAGTGATTATTAGTATCTACAACTATATTACGCGTAAAGGATATAGTGAAAATATCTGTAATAAATTCTATACGATAAATGGAATTAAATTAGGAGAGAGCGATATGAATGCAAGGCCTAAAGACTTTTGGTTGGGACCGAGCGCGCGTGTCTAGATAGTATTAATTTTAATTTTAATTCGATATTTTTATTTATTTAATCAACTACATCTTTATTTATATTTTATTATATAGAATAAAACTTTCTAAAACACATTTAAATATTATACATATTTCATTTTTGCAAAAATATTTTTGCCACATTTTCTTTTTGGAGAATTTTTTAAAAAAAATATGCTTTTAATTAACCTATGTCAACTAAAATAAATTTATAATGTTCATTGTGATACTTAGAGATGTGCAAAAGTGTCCGTACCTGGCCCGAATTTTTTTTTTTAAAAAAACGGGTTCGGGCTGAGTCGGGCCTTAGATTTTTAAAAAAAATTCGGGCCGGGTCGGGTCTTAATTTTTTTTAAAAATATAATATCTAATTTTATCAATTTTAATGTTGAATTTTATATGAAAAATGCTAATTATTTTGATTTTATTTATAGAAACTAGACGCCATATAACATATATCGTTTATTTTGCGTATAATTTTAAAATTAATTTCTATATTTAAATAAATTCGAACCGGGCCGGTATATCTTTTCAAAAAAATTTCGGGTTCGGGTCGGGTGGGGCAAAGAATAAAATTCGGGCCTGGCCGGGCTTGAAAAAATTAGACCCGTTGCAGATCCCTAGTGATACTAAAGTAAGAGGATAAAAGATTATAAGATGGAGAAAAAAAAACAAACGGCGCCTTGTTTCTTAGAAAATGTATAAAAAGTTGAAAAGTCGAATGATATTATACCCAAAATAAAAGATACATGTCATATGGCGTCTAATTTTTACAAATAAAATTTAAAAAAAATATTAGGGCCTAAATGGGCCTACCTTTGCAGATCTCTACTCTGTATCTATATACAATAAGATACATGATAAAAGCGTATCGCCCTCTAATGCTATGGATCAAAAGAGTATTCCTTATTTCCGTCAAACTATATATTAAAAAAATATAAGATTTGGGGAAACTTTATATAAAGAGTGCTGCACGTAAGTGGGCAGGTCGCGCGTACTTGTAAGCGAAATAGTTCGAAAACATTTATTTAAATGTCTGCAGACTGATGACACATAAACTGGACAAACGAAAAAAACACAAAAACTTTTGGTTTTTTTAAAGATATTATTATATGGGCGAAAGTTTGGGGGGGGGGAGATATTTGGCTGATTATAACTTTACATTTCTTAATATAAACTAATAAATCTAAAGTAATATAAATTTAACCAGGGATCCAAACCGAAACGAATATCGGTTTGGTTCGGGTTCAGGTTCGGATAAAAATAACGGTTCAAGGTTCAGGTTCGGTTCGTAAAAAATTAAAATATCGGTTCGGTTCGAACCTCTAAGAACCGGTTTGAACATTTTTGTATCCAAGCCTACATTTGAATTATGTATAGGAAAAATACTTTTTTATTTTATCATTAATTAATAAAACACATGTTAAAACCTTCATTTTTATTAATTGCACATTATAAAATAATATTTAAAGAATATATATCAATGATTAATTTTAATATGAACAAGATTTTACTTTTATTTTACTTAAATTTTTTTTATTAAGCCGCACAATTAATATATTTTCAAAATTCGTCTCACTCAAATTACACTATGAGGAGATAGTATAAATTTAATTGTTGAAAAGCATCTTTCCACACTGTCTTGGGTAGCCGGCACTGCCAATATGATATCGATTTGATATAATAATATTTTGGATTTAATTTTTCTCTAAGCATTATAATTTACAAGCTTAAAATATTTTAAAAAATGTTGTAAAATGACAATATACTAAAGTTTATAAAAATTATGACCGACACTTATCAATCAAATGTGATTGATGTTAATCTTTAAAATAATTTGAATGTAATTGAAATTTTTTCAATATACTAATAATAATTTACATGTTTAAGCATAAAATCATGAGGCTCGAACCGGTTCAGAGACATTATAGCGGTTTGGTTCAGGTTCGGCTAGAATTTTTTTTAGCAGTTTAGGTTCGGTTCAGGTTTGATAAAAATACCGGTTTTTAGCGGTTTAACGGATCGGTTCAGGTTCGGTTTGGATCCCTGAATTTAACTATTAAAAAATATAATTAAAACTAAACAACATATTTTTTTTTTCAAATTATTCAAAACAGAAATATATATCAATAAATATCAAAAAATTGTAAAAAAACATTTAAATACCACAGTTATAATCTCAATAAGAAAATAAGGGGCAATAAAAAATGGACGAAGAAAATTTTTCAAAATGTTTTTAAACCCTTTCACGTCCAGCGAGATCATTTGTTCATCAAAAATTTTAATCAATTTATTTTCATAATTTAAAAGATTAATGGTTGCTACTTAGACACATTAATTTACAAAGCAATATTTATTATTTCACATTTTATCATTAACCTGTCAAAATTACTATATGATGGTCTTCGACTCAAGAAGAGCTATCTGCACAACAAACACAAACGAGCACTCAATTCCGCCCCCGTCAGGTTCCTCCACAGATGAAATTGTAAAAGTAATTAAAAAATTGCGTAATAATAAAGCTCCTTGACTAGATAAAATAGGAGCTGAACATCTCAAAATTGCACCTAGAACTGTATCCTTCTCTTTTTAATAAAATATGGGAAACCGGAAAAACCTCTGTGGAATGGAATAATTCTCTCTTGTGTAATTTTCCCAAGATAAATGACCCAAAGAAATTTAATGACTATCGCGCTGTAGCTCTTACATCTGCTGTATCTAAGATTTTTTTTTTTGGTCCTGCTAAAAAACAGGATTATGTCATCTTTATCAAACTTAATCCCTAAATATATTTGTGCTTATAGACCAAACAAAAATATTCTCGAACCTATTCTTGCTTTAAATATAATGATACAAAAATGTTGGAAATTTAAATTTCCAGCTTTCTTCACTTTCGTAGAATTCAGTAAGGCATTCGATCGCGTAAGTCTTGACGCCCTGTGGAGGACACATTTGGAATGCGGGATTGAATCTAATGTTATATACATCCTAAAGAATCACTGTTCTAATTTACCCGCTTGTTTTAAAATTCTTTAACTAAAACTTAAACTTAAAATCAACCACAACCCACTCTTAAAGTTATTAACTTATACTGCAATTCTTGGGCATAGTTTCTTTTTTCTGCCCCGCTCTTTCTCCTAAAGCCTATGGACGTATATAACATTTTTCGAAATGTGGCGTGTACAAGTACGTGCGGCTTGCCCACAAACGTGAAGAGGGCTCCTCATATTTTTTTAACTTTGCATCCTAATTAACTTCTGTTCCAATTAGATGGAAATGAGGAAAACCTAGAGTAGCTCTGTTGTTTATTCAACATCAGAGGGCATATGCGCTATATATCACGTATCGCGTAAATACAATTTCATTGTTACATATTTTACGCGCCAAAATTTTTACACTTTTACATCGATAACCATTATATATATATAAATCAATGGTATACAATGTTTTTATAATAGTTTATTACTAGTATTTTATGTTTAGCAATATTGAAAACACGTATCTCTTTTTAGTATTTTAAGCTCAGATAGCTAAAGTCGATGACGGTTGGAGAGGAAAATGATAGAAAAAAAGGTGAACCTCTACCTTGAAGATTGAAAAAAAGAGAAGGAAAATTGAATAGTTTTAATTCAATCACAGTTGGATTTGAATAAACAGGGCATTCTTTGGCGGCTGAAAGATGCCAGAACTGCACAGATGGTTATTCCAGATTCGAAAGTAATAAATTGTAAAAATATCTCTATGTTTAAATAAAAATTGCAATCGTTTTATTTCTCATCATTTCAAAATAAATTGTATATTTTTTTTTACATATGAAATTATCCCAATGATGACAAATGGCAACATTTCATAATTCTCTATATATATATACACACTTTTTTTAAATAAAAATAACGTTGAAAATGTGTTATATGAGTCTTGTATAACTCAGTTTTAGAAAAATAAAAATTTTTATGTTCACGGGAAATATGCCGGGCGCGATAGGGTAACGTATTTTTATTTTTTATATATAATCTCTACGGTAAAATAAAAAAATTAAGTATATATAAAAAAAAATGTTTTGCTTGCTTATTATTACGACATTTACTTAAAAAAAATGAAAATTTTTAAAAATTATGAAAAATATTTGGGATTACATATTAACCTATTCATATTGCGAATCATAACGCCTCTTTATTTTTTGATTTTTTTTAAAAAAAAATTTTATATGAAAATATTAATTTCCTCCTAAAAGTAAATAAATGAAAAGGAATTGTCATATACAGTGTTGTGATGATTTAATGAAACATATTGACGATTAAATTCAAACCCATTCATATAAAATGATAATATTTGCAAAAATAATTAAAATATAGACAAAGCATTGTTGAAATTTCTTTTATTATTTCTTTTGTTGTACATTTTGTAAAGATTATAATTATATATGCATGTGTTTAAATTAAATCGTCAATATGTTTCATTAAATTATCACACTGTATGTATGCAGAGATTTAAATACATTTACACCAATCAAGTGTATACACATAAAGGAAATTATTTACAAAATGTTGTAAAATAGCTATATACAAACAAATATTCACAAAAATGATAATACAGTGTTGTGATGATTTAATGAATATTGACGATTAAATTCAAACCCATTCTTATAAAATGATAATATTTGCAAAGATAATTAAAATATAGACAATGCATTATTTAATTTGTTGTACATTTGTAAAGATTATAATTATATATGCATGTGATTTAATTAAATCGTCAATATGTTTCATTAAATCATCACAACACTGTATATGTTAAATTTACCGGCTTCATCTATATCACCCGAAAAATTTTGTTCTCACTTAAAACTGACACATAATTTCAAAAAAATAAATAAGTCGATCATCTTCATATTGTTATTCGTAACTAGTGTTGTTAAAAGGCTTATATTGAGCCGATTTTTAAAAACGGCGAATTCAATATTTTATTCAGAAAAATATTGCCTAAGCCTTGAGATTTCGCCTATTCATGTCTAGACCTTTGTGCTATCTATGAGCAAAATCTTCAGGCTTGCCTAATATTATTCTAGATAAAATATTGAGTTAGCCGTTTTTAACAATCGGCTCAAATCGAGCCGTTTAACAACACTATTCGTAACCATAAACAAACTTGTGGCTTCTAAGGTTCTTATAAAAATAAAGTTGGAAATTTTTTTCGTTTAAATTTTATAAAAATTAATTTTTATAATTACTCAAAATAAAAGATATATTATATATGGCGTTTAGTTTCTATAAATTAAAACCAAATATTTTTATTTTACATAAAAGATTCAACCTAAATTGATAAATTTAGATATAATTAAAAAACTTTAAAAACCCGACCCGACTTGACCCAAATTTTCTTAAAAAGCCCGAACCCTTTTTGAAAAAAAAGGCCCTAACCCAGCCTCGAGCCCGTTCTGGCCGGGCATACTTTTGCAGATCTCTACCTTATATTATAAGTTTTTGGGAAGGTAGAATTTTTGAATTCATCATCAACTCTTCTGGGAAATTACCTTTATTATATATTAAATTAAAATGAGAGAACATTAGGGTAGCACATTCTAAAGTTCAGCATAAGTACTATGGATGCCAGCGTCAGTGCAATTTTTTAATGGTTTATATCGCTGATTGTATCTATTTATAAAATATAAATTTAATAAAATGGAAGGAAATAATGATAAAGCTAACTACTCAACAAGGATGAAAGTTTAAAATAGAAAAAAAAGTTTGATGAAATTTGCAACAACAACAAAAGAATTAGTTATTACAAAAGGTATATTTAAAAAATTAAAAATAAATTTATTTTAAACTAATAAATCATTTTTATTAGTTTTAAAAAATATTAATTAACTAGAATTTTTTTATATTTATATTAGAAATCTCTCTGGTATAATAGGGGTTAAAAATAATTCAATTTTTTACTTTTGTACTTAATATAGATATACAGATATAGAGATATTTTTACAGACTATAAATAAGATATATTTTTTAGAAAACATTTGCAGAATAGATAGTATTAGTGTAAATATTTTAAATTATTAAATTTATGAACTCTTTTAGATAATCGTAACTTAATTTACAAACTAAAATCAAAATATTTCTAATAAAATGAAACTAATTCTATTAATATGCATCTACGCTTATTTTAGAACTATTCCTACTCAAAGAGGTATACATTCATTTCAATCTCATAAATATATAATCGCATTAAACCCTACAAAAGCGATGTAAAATATCCAGGTATAACGCTTCGTTTACCCGGCTAATATCACGATGTAACTTAAGCTATGCAAAAATTACAAAATACATCATGTTAAATTATAGCCCCTATACTATGAATTGTTTAAGCTATATTGGATAATTAAAAACTAGTCCCAAAACTCACATTAGGGAGAAATAAAAGCTTCTTAAATTTATAAATTTTGATTTTGAAATTTAAACAATAATATAATATAAAATTATAATTAATAAATTTTGCAATATTGTTGGGTAGTGTTTCTTAAGGTGGATATTAATTTGACAAAATTTATAATCATAAGTAGATATTTCTAGCGTTTAGTAATATATCAAGATATATCTCATGGAAAAATATAATAATTCCAAATTTATATTTTATAGTTATAGGTGCAGAGTTTTACGAGCTATGCTTTCTGTTCCATTATCCTGGCTTATTCGATGTATATACAGAAGGGAATAAAACGTGAGATCATTTATTATTTTTATATGAATAATTAATGAAAAAATATTTAATATTTTAACAATAAAACATTGTTTATTAAAATAAAGGAATAGAGATATTGATTATCATATAGGAAACTATATAAAACTGGTATATTATAATGGTATAAATGTAATTTAGGCTAGAACCAATTATTAGGAAAAAATATTTTATATTTTTTATATATATTTCCCCAAAGATGCTAACTTTGGAAGGGATGGTTTACATAGGTTCTCATTTCAACTCCTACAATATTTTAAATTTTTATTATATAAGATTAGAAAAAATTATTTACTATGTTTAAAATTAAACTTTGATAAATGATACAATAATATATAATTTTAAATTTTTTTAAAAGAATTTTTCCTAGCTAGATGGAAATATCATCATTTTATTTTTGTTCAATAAAAACATTTTTGAAAATAAGATATTTTAGGGTTTTCACTTTTTTTTTACCTAAAGATTTTAAATTTTAGTCGTTATTTTTAAAAAATTATTTTTATTTAAAATTTTATATTTTGAGGAGAGGATAATTGGAGAATATTTTTTAAAAAAAAGATTCGCTGAACTCTATCTACATAAAGAGAATAATTCAATATCATCTTATATCCAAGGGGGTGATAGGAATATAGTTACATATTTAGTAAACAGAACCATATACAAAATGTTGTGGATATTTGAAAGTTTTGAATTGACGAACCTAGAAAAATTAATTGAATTAAATCAAACATTAAAAATTGAAGCTGAAGTGAGTAGTAGTTCATTACTCAACATTTTTAGTAACTTTATCCTAGGTCGAGATCCGATTGAATAGCATTGGTTCAATTATTGTGCTTTGTATGTTGACGTTAAACACTGATAGGCTATTCAAATGTGTTCAATATACGAACTCAAATGTGAGTCAGATATTTTTTTTATTTGGTAACAAGATTTGGGAAGGAAAGTTATGAAAAGCTAAAATATAATTAATATTTGTTTAAGAATATTATATTTTTTTAAATTTCACCCATAGATTACAATAATTGTTAGAGATAATTTGATATCTGTAGAAACGAAACAATTGAACATTACAAGTTTAAACACATACCTAAATCATATCGTATATCGCCTTACTTGGAGCTTACCCAGAAAAAATTTTTTTCAATACACTTTTATAGGTGGAAGTATAAATATATCTTGTATTTTTACAATGTGCAATTAATCTGCTTATGATCATTTCTGTGTTATAATATAATAAAATAAATATAATTATGCATTAAATAAAAATTTGCAACATTGAAATATGCATTATATCACAATTAAATTATTTTCTGAAACCAATTTTTTAGTTAAGAGTAAGGACGTAAATTTTTCCTAACTTTTTCCCAATTTTCATAATGTGCTCTTTGAGTAAATAATCATGATTTTTTAAAAATATTTTACTTAAAAAGATTTATCTACTTGGTAATAAATTATAGTTGTTTTGATATATATACATTAATTCTCAATCATTCACCATAATATTATATTAGTCAACCTAAGTAAATATGATCTGAAGAAATTTTTTTTACAAACTAAGGTAAAGATAGGGAGTAGTATTAAAAGTTAGAGACATATGGGATAAGATAGAGATAGTGTTTAATTTAAATGTTGAGAGGTAGGAATGAAAATAAATAAATTTCTTGGTAAGAGTAGCAGGTCAAGTGATTCTAGACAGACTAGCAATCATTTTAAGGTAATAATAGCAATTTACTTGAGTTCAACCTAAATTTCTTAATTTTTATTATAAATTTTTACAACATTAAATTAATTAATATTCAATCTCATTTGCAATTTTGATATTAAATTTTACAAAATATTCTTATTTACAATTAATATAATTAAATTTACATACATACAATATAAGTTATAGAATATTTTTGTAATAAACTGAAACAATTAATTATTTCCCTGCAACGATACAATGGAAACATAACAAAAATATTGATAATTTATCATCTGAAGAGAAAAGTAAAATATGCTTTCGAAATAGCCGTCTTATGTAAAATTGTCCATTATTAGATAAGAAAATTTTAATAATATATGATTGATTATATTCATACACATTTTGATTTATAAAAAAAAATTCGATGCTTTATTATTATTTATTCTAATTATCTTTTAATTTACTTGAGCTAAATATCTTATCAAGCCTTTATTTTATACATTGCGAAAAATTTTCATAGTCATAATCTAAATATTCAAATTATTAAATTATCAAACCACAACTAAAAATTCAAACTTTTATTACATATATTATTTCAATAATTACGCATATAAAAGTCAAGAGCTCTGATAAACTTAAAATTTTGTTCCTTTAATAGGGGAAAATATATAATAATAATAGGAGCAAGCAAGTTATTTTGACAAAATATAAAAATATCTTATGCTCGTTTTGTTCCTTCAAAGCAAATACAATATCGTCTCAACTTTATTTTTCTTCCTACCATGATTTTATTATGCACGCCCTTTACCTCAATATCCTTTCCTATATTAATTATTAAACACAATCAATCGCTATTACCACAGAAAAGGTGCTTACTTAAATATAAAATTGTTAGTTAGTTTGGTGGTCTAAATGATTACACATCCCGAGTCTAGTATTTATTCCCTGTAACATTCTTATTGAGCGTTACTCTTCTTCTGGGCTTTCTATTATTTTATGAGTGCAAATCAAAAGTAGATTTAAGTGTAAACAATACAAAATAATATGGTTATATAAAAAATGATATTATTTTATGGGGAAGAGTATAATGTTGCTTGGTATATTCTTAATACTTTCTAAGATGGTAATAAACTATAAATAACACAAAGTTTAAAATAAATTAATTATAAAAAAAGATTTGTAAAGTATGCTCTACCTTGAAAGGTGGGTTGAGAAAAATATTTTTATTTGTTATAGGTTATAGGTAAATGTACTAGATATCTAGATATTTTTACATCACTAAAAATATATAATTTAAAAGCATTTGCAAAAAAAAGATATTATTGATATGATGAATATTTAATAAAATCATTAAATTCATTTTTATAATAATAGATTAATATAATTCTATTTAAATAGCAAATAAAAATATTTTTCGGCACCAGTCATTCATTCCTTGATGTCGTGCGATGGTAATAATAGACAGCTTCAGAATTCTGTCCAAGATAGTGGGGTAAAACCTTTGTTCCAATATCTCATTGTTGTCCTCGTTGAGGTTATCGACTTTGTCAATCAAAGGACTTCGATGCTCGAATTCACAGGACGGTCTGATCAATTTGGGGTAGGCCTCCGATGTGTATGTCCTGAAGGGTGGCGTGAGCATCTTCGCTGCTGATCCATTTCTCGTTTGTTGTTTTGTTCTGAAGCGATCCACATTAGGTTTCAAGCTAGGTGGACCTAGTTAAGGATAGATGCCCGCAAGCAAGGAATCTGGCACCTATTTTCTTAATGATTGTATATGCAACCTGGCTTTCAGTAACGATGGCCGAGACCTTCTCTTATACTTGTTGAAACCGACTCATTTAGAAAAGATTCTTTTTTGTTTAATGTGGGGCGTGGCTAGTTCTGGAATCCCAAGAGTGTGTTTGGACTCATCATAGGTGAATGATTATCACTCGGAAAGTATTTGCGATTCATATGTGCTTGAAAAAAGCGTCGACGTGAATAAACGTGATAGCCGAGAATGTAAAAAAGGTATTCAGGAGCGCCTGGCGACTACTGCTTATTTGCTTTAAGGTAGTCGATACGGGGTATGTCCTCAGGGTTATGATACTATAATATGTTCGAACACTTTTGACAGACCCGTTACTTAATAGGTAAAATGTTTCAGAATTCTGAGTGCTTGCTATTCCCCTTTCGTTATTGATTGGAGGGAGTGAAAGAATCAACTGGCAAAAACTCAGGAGAGATTTATATTCCTGATCCATCAGGCGGTTTTATTCTTAAGTTAATCTCAGTTCTTATGTAAGTGATTCTCTCCACAGGCCTGATTTGGTTTTATTAACGATTAATCCAGGCGGCAGCCATATCCAGGTAGGCAATGGTGTATCCCTGATACTAACTGGTGGTCAGCATGAAAAATAATTATGTCAACTAAATACATCGAATAGTTGGCGATAATGATGGACTAGGAGCATAGGTCAAGCACTATATTATGGAGGGTGTAGGGGAAAACCCCAGTCCCCATGAGGAGGGTCTTGTACTTATATTTGGTGTTAGTGATCGCGAATCCCAAAAATCTCAGCCTACTTTGGTCTGGAGGAATGGAGTAAAAGGTATATTTTAAGTCAATTTTTGTTGCCTTACTTGTTAAACGTTTGGGCGATTATAGGAATGGTCTTGAGTCGGAACGGGTACTTTAAGAAGTTGCACGAGACGTTAAAGAAGTCTAATATAACGCGGGGGATTTCGTTACTCTTGTGGATCAGGAATAGTGGGGAACAGAACATACCTTCAGTTACTTATTGACGGCAGGGTACTAGTTGTCACACAATGTGGGTATACTTGCTAACCAATCTGATAAATCGATTTTTTAAATAACCAAATCGAGACAGAAGCCTCTCAAGGCTATTCGGCATATAAAGGGGGACTGGAAGGGGTGTGGGTTGAGGATGGATGCGGGTACTAATCTGGAAAATAGATTAACTTCCATGCTGTGTGTAACGTCGATACCCGTAAGACTAAGAAGTTTGGAGAATTTACCTAATGACGCACTTCGACCGTCAGCGCTAACGGAGGCATGACGGCTGCGCTGTACGAGGTAATTTTGAGAATATATTGGCCATGATAATAAGTTCACCTCGTATAACTGTTCGGTGACCGATAATTTCACAATTGTAATAATCGTAAACTGAGGGCTAGTCATCATCTTCCACGATGTGGTCTCTGGCTTTATCACCCTTCCCAGAAGGTGAACGTCTAAGATATCTTATCCAGGGCCGAAGTTAGTTCCCGTCCTAATCTTGAGATCCAGTATCCGCCCTGGGAGCCAGAGCTTCTGCAACTCTAAATTATAACGCGGATGGGGGGAGGGACTTTGGAATTCACTAACTTGCTGAAGGTTTTTCTTGGTGTCTCCTAATCTTGGTTGCTTGAGTAGATATTCCATTTCGTAATTGCTGACGTTGGAGGTGGTGGGGTAATCATTTTTGGGGATAAGGGGGTGAATAGTACAGCTGATGTTATATCCAGCCCTCTGTCCCTATCTTTGGGTTGGATTAGATCAAAAGGGGATTTCAATGTTCCCCTGTTGTGGTTTTCCGTCAAACTTGTAAATCAGGGACTAGGGTTCCCATTTGATCTGCTCCCAACTCTATGCCTCTGACCTGGCGTAAATCTGTGATTTCAATGCAATGTCCCTTAAGAATTTGCATGACATATCCTCTTTTAATTCTTGACTGCTATATTCAGTGACGGTAACTTTTAGACGTCTCTGCCTTATACCAGATAGCCGGGTGAGTTTTCTGCTAAAAAGATAGCATTCATGTAGTGCTTAGCGATCTTAATAAGTCATGGCTTACTAGTCTTTGTCATAATATAGTGATTTCAATTCCTCACCCGAGAGTAGGAATTTGGTGGTTTCGGAAGTTAGGTCGATCACGTGATGCGAGA